ACACACACACACACACACACACTCACACTCACACTCACACACACACACACACACTAGTGTCTGTTTCAGTGGTGTTTATAAGTGAGTAAATGAACAAGTGATTCTCTGATTCTGAAATTTGTGAACACCGACGCTTCACGCTACAGAAGCTTGGTTTCTCGCGTTGTTTTGTTCTGAAACGAGTCAGAACTCTATATGTAGCGCAGTTCGAGTCTATAAGGGCTGCTTTAGCTGGCATTAGCGCAAACAGTGCGTTTGTGTTTCAGCTTAGATACTGTCATGGCGGAGCAAGAGTCGTTGAACAGGTTAGTGTCACTGTCCACATGTTTAGAGAAGCTGTCTGATAATGAACACATCTGGTGTGACCAATCTGAAGGAAACACCATCGCCCTCTGGAGAGCTTGAGACGCTACTGCCACAGAGACGCCAGGACATGTGATGGACGCTTGCCATACGCCCAAAACTACACACACACATGCATCGTCTCTTTTTGGAATGATCAGTGTAGCAGGTTCACAGACGTCTTCTTGTCCTTGTTCAAGCGCAGTTCATCTCCAGCTGTGAGTGTGTGTACAAGTGTGTGTGCAAGAGTGTTTGTGTGTGCGCGAGTGTGAGTGTGTGTACAAGTGTGTGTGCGCAAGAGTGTTACAGAACCAACCAATAGCAGCAGAGAGAACGCAGAGAGGAGGAGGTTGTGTGTGCGCAACAGTTTGTGTGTGTGTGTGTGAGTGAGTGAGTGTGTGTGCAGTGTATGTGTAGTGTGTGAGTGTGTGTAGTTGTGTGTGCATGTGTGTGAGTGAGTGAGGAAATGTTTGCATGAACGTGTGAGTGTGTGCCATTGTGTGTGTGTGTGTGTTTATGAGCATGTGTGTGTTCACCTACAGCAGGTTAAACGTGCGCAGGTAAATCTGTCTCTCGATCCACTCGGTGAAGTGCGTCACATTGGCGTAGACGCCGGGGCCCAGGACCTTAGAGAAACACACCGACCCCCAGGAGGTCAAACCGTACAGAGACCAGCGGCCATCATCCTCCTCACAGACCAGCGGACCACCGCTGTCACCCTGGAGAAACACACACACACACACACACGATGTCAAGTGAGCACACACACACACACACGATGTCACGAGAGCACAAACACACACACACACACACTCATGATGTCACGTGAGCACAAACACACACACACATGATGACACTATTTTCCTATTTAATACTGTAAAGCTGCTTTGATACAATCTGTATTGGTAAAAGCGCTGTATAAATAAAGGTGACTTGACTGACCTTGACACACACTCTCACACACTCATGATGTCACGTGAGCACACACACACACACACACACTCATGATGTCACGTGAGCACCAGGGTTCCCACTCTAAGCCAAATGTGACCCTGGAGCACAAAACCAGTCTTAAGGGTCAATTTTTCAAAGTTGAGTTTTATACATCATCTGAAAGCTGAATAAAAAAGCTTTCCACTGATGTATGGTTTGTTAGGATAGGACAATATTTGGCCGATATCAGTGGCGTAGCGAGTCAGTACGTTGGCAGAGTCATAACGTTACGTGAATCGTGACTATTCACAAGCTGTTTTATTTATGTTATAGGCTAATGCTTGGAAATGATTAAAGTTTTCAAGTCCATTCATTATTTGTAGCACGCAAGCCACCCAATTATCGCAGCTTTGTGCTTTGTTACTCAAAGTCTCAGCCTTCTGTCAACTTTATGATAAAATACAAACAAACGTTTTTTTACGCTCTTTAATTTGTAGTGAGATAATTCGCCTCAGTTCAAGCTGCATATGAATCAATGATATTTTCCTCTTTAATATTTGCAGCACAAACTAAACATGAATATTTGAATGCATGTTGAAATAAATCAGAACAATTTAATCACACACACACACACACACTCACGCTGTCACGTGAGCACACACACACACACACACACTCATGATGTCACGTGAGCACCAGGGTTCCCACTCTAAGCCAAATGTGACCCTGGAGCACAAAACCAGTCTTAAGGGTCAATTTTTCAAAGTTGAGTTTTATACATCATCTGAAAGCTGAATAAAAAAGCTTTCCACTGATGTATGGTTTGTTAGGATAGGACAATATTTGGCCGATATCAGTGGCGTAGCGAGTCAGTACGTTGGCAGAGTCATAACGTTACGTGAATCGTGACTATTCACAAGCTGTTTTATTTATGTTATAGGCTAATGCTTGGAAATGATTAAAGTTTTCAAGTCCATTCATTATTTGTAGCACGCAAGCCACCCAATTATCGCAGCTTTGTGCTTTGTTACTCAAAGTCTCAGCCTTCTGTCAATCTTTTTACGTTGTAGTGAGATAATTCGCCTCAGTTCAAGCTGCATATGAATCAATGATATTTTCCTCTTTTTCCTCTTTAGCACAAACTAAAAAT